AAAATGACAATCGTCAAATCTAGCTGTAAATAAATCTCCAGTTGATGGTTCTAAATATTTTACTATAGATGGAGATTCGTATCCAACATAAATTCCCATTCTTCTTTGAGGACCCATTTTCGTGCGGTGAGGTGGAGAAATGGGTACATAAATTGCACATCCGAACGTCCTTAGATGGGAAATATTTGGTACATGGCCGCAAACCAGTTGAATAGGGGAGAACTTATGATAACTAGTTGGCCTGATGCGTATAAGTGATGCCGCATGTAAAATTGCATGTCCCCATGTCGATGTAGGAAGTTTAGAATGCATTAGTAATGGTCTTGCAATTAATTGAAGGCGTTTGATTAACGACTCAGCTAAACCATTTTGTGTATGAACATATGCAACAGGATGTTCAATAGTTATCCCAATCGACATGCAATAGTCATTAAAAGCTTGTGATGTAAATTCCCAGCATTGTCAAGTCGAATTTTCTTAATTGGGTAATCGGGAAAATGTGCCCTTAGGCGGATTATTTGTGCTAGTAATCTTGCGAAAGCGAGATTACGGCTAGATAATAAGCACACATGTGACCATCTAGTTGACGCGTCAATTAAGACCATAAAATATCTAAATGGTCCACATGGTGGATGAATTGGTCCACATATATCCCCTTGAATTCTTTCTAAAAAACTAGGACTTTCATACCCAACTTTATTCAATGATGGACGGGAAATTAATTTTCCTTGAGAACATGCAACACAAGACAATTCATTAGCTTGAAAAATCTTCTGGTTTTTCAAGGAATGTCCACTTGAACTTTCAATTATTTTGCGCATCATAACTGATCCGGGATGGCCCAACCGGTCATGCCAAACTTTGTAGATGTTATCATACCTTTTATTTTCAATAGCATGAGATTCAATCATTCTAATATTTGTATAATACAATCCGGAGGACAATACGGGTAATTTTTCCAAAAGACTTTTCTTACCCGATATCATTTTCGTAATATTGAGATACTCTTCATCACCATCATTGGTTGTTTCAACATGATATCCGTTGGACCGAATATCCTTAAAACTTAATAAATTTCTTGGTGATTTTGATGAAAATAATGCATCTCCAATTATAATTATTGTCCCTTGTGGTAATATGATATTCGCTCTTCCGGAGCCTTCAATCATTTTTGCACTACCCGTTATTGTATTAACATTTGCTTCTCCAATTGATAAGTAAGCAAAATATTTTTTATTATTAAAAATGCTATGTGTTGTTGCACTATCTGCAAGACATATATCTTCCTCATTTCTTTTGCGAATATCCATATTTCTCTTCAAAATAAAAATATATAATAAAATAATAAGAAATAAGAAATAGTCAACTTAGATAAATAAAGTCATATATTATTATTTTGAGAAGAATCATCAGATCTCTTCTGATGAAACGACTATAACATAAAAATCATAAACGACATTAAACAAAACTACATATTATTCTTGACCATGACAATGACTTTAAACAAACATAATGCAAAAATAAAATGATACTAGAAAACCAACAATTTCATGATATGCCATATCCATCTCATTTTATGGGAAAAATTGGGTACTTCCATCACCATTCATAACACCGTTTGTCCCTTCCGTGTTGGCAAGATAATCGGCGACATCCAAATGTCTCATTTCTAGTTGATCTTCGGAAAAATAATTTTGAACAAAGTTTGTTTCCGCATTTTTTCCTTCTTTATATTTTAGAGAAGCTTGATAAAGATCAACAAAATGCTTTGGAGTGCGACATGTACGTGACCAATGACCGGTCATTCCACATCGGTGACAAACATTTTCAACTTTCTTCTTGCCTTGACCACTTTTATCATTAGGATGTGGGTTTTTGTTATTTTCCCACTTCTGGTGGTTACTTATATTATTATTATTATTGTTGGGACGATTATTATGACGGCCTCCACCACGTCCACGACCTCGACCACGACCACGGCTACGACCACGGTTAGACCCACGACCGTTATAATTAGATGATGTCGCATTCACTTCAGGGAATGGACTAGAACCGGTCGGACGTGATTGGTGATTTTTCATTAAGAGCTCATTATTTTGTTCAGCCACAAGAAGACATGAGATTAATTCACAATATTTTTTAAAACCTTTCTCACGATATTGCTGCTGCAGGAGCATGTTAGTGGCATGAAAAGTAGAGAAGGTTTTCTCTAGCATGTCTTCATCAGTTATAGTCTCACCACATAGTTTTAGTTGGGAAGTAATTTTGAACATGGCCGAATTATACTCACTCACAGATTTAAAATCTTGTAGCCGAAGGTGTAACCAATCAAAACGAGCTCTAGGAAGTATCACCGTTTTTTGATGATCATACCTCTCTTTCAGATTATTCCAAAGATCAGCTGGATCTTTGACAGTGAGGTATTCAGCTTTTAATCCTTCATCGAGATGGTGGCGAAGGAAAATCATCGCCTTAGCCTTTTCTTGGCTTGATGCTTCATTTAAAGGATTTACATCCTTTATGGTGTTTCCAAGACCCATAGCATCAAGGTGGATTTCAGCATCAAGGATCCATGATAAATAATTTTTTCCACTAATGTCAAGAGCCATAAACTCAAGTTTGCTAATGTTTGCCATAGTGAAAGTACTAATCAAAAAAAGAGTTGTATATTAGAGGATTGTTAGTTAAGAAGTATCATAAGATTATTTGTGAGCATTATATAACTTGTGAGCATTATACATATGAACTTTGAAAACTATATATATATATATATATATATATATATATATATATATATATATATACCTGACAACGACAAGAACGGCAAGAAGTTAGAACTCTATGGTAGAGCCTCGTGCTGATAACGTGTTATAAAATATGATCAAATAACAATATAAATTATAGAGTAAAGAAAGATATGAGAGTAGAGAGAACTTTTATTCCAATACTTGTGATTAATTCATATAGTGCCTAATACATATGGCTCACTATTTATACTATCCAAATAAGATGAAAGATGAGCTACAATATGAATGCACATTATGATGGTGTATTATTACATTCATAAAACACATTGAAATGGTTGTTACTAATGCTAAATAATGATGGAGAGTTATGGGAGAAATGGAGAATCCAAAGGTCATTCACAAACTAATATTTCATAACACAAACTATTTTTTATCGTTTTTTCCATTATAACATTGTAATTTCAAAAATTCATACAAGTACACACCTATGAAACCCATGTAGTTTAGAAATAAAGGTCATGATCATTATAGAATTATGCTTTACAAAGTAAGGCATGCTCAGTTTTTCCATACTAGCATTGTGCTTTACAAACTAACGACATGCTCATTTTTTCCTTTATAGCATCCTTAATCTTGTTTCATACTTTTCCATTACAAATCAATGTCTATGCATACAAATACATATATAGACACATAATACACATACAAATACATAAGTACATACATAATACACATAGAAAAACCCATATATACATAGATGATACACATACAACTACACAAATACATATATGTACTTACATATACACATCCACATATACATACATTAATGACACAAATAATACACTTAAAAACACATATATACATACATTATACACATACATATATAGAATATACATTCCACATACAAAATTAAAATTAAAAAGATGACGATGAAGAACATGTGGAAGTGTAATATGTCGGAGAAGATGGTTGGTGTTCCAAATTTCGAGATTTTCCGGTAGGGAGGTTCAAATCCTGACAGTAAAGCTGGAAATTTCAGTAAATAAAATCTGAAAATTCGAGTTTTTAGTGGGGAGAAAAGAAAAGGAAAAATAAAAGCAGAAAAATAGAGAAGAAAGAAGAAGAAAACCTCACTTGAAGAAGCTTGGGGAGGTCGTCGATGATGGGGGGGGGGGGGGGGGGGGGTAGCTAATTAGGAAGTCATCAGTAATGTGGAGGTCACAATTGGGACTTTTTTGGCGGTGAAATTTCGGCTTAATCGAACAGCTGAAGGGTGAAAAAAAATTGTCGGCATGTGGAGTGAATGTTATGAACACATAACATAAGAGGAAAGAATGAAGTGGAAGGGGTATTATTCACGCAGACCTTTAGCAACGACTCAATCGTATTAGCAACGACGGTGAAGTAATGATGACGACACGTATCGGGAGGGAAGTTTTAGCACCATCTATTTAGACTATTAGCAGCGACACCGTCGTCGTTGCTATTGGTATTGTACACAACGAGGGTCCGAGCCATTGGATTCGCCACAAAATCAAAAGATAGGATGTAATCTTGGCTTTTCACACGGATCGAGGTCGAAGAGTATTAGCGGTGACAACCCTTATTAGCGGCGACAACCAATGTGATTGATGGTTGTCGCTGCTAATAGTTGTTATTCTTATAATGCATGGTAACTTAACCACCACCAATTCATAGAGATTCAACCCTAGAACAGTTGCATTAGCACTCAATGTAAGTGTTTTATGGTCTAATTTGAGTTGTTTTTTTTTTCTTTAATTATTTGTTGGTAGATTTAATGGTGGGTAACGATTTAGGTGTTGTTCATAATGTTTTTTATAACAAATGAAACCGATCATAAAAGTGATCAACTAGCCAAGACTCTGGCTAATGCCCGTCGCAATGATTTCCATGAACCAACTATATTCAAATATTTAGCAAAAACCATATATGGTTATAAATGAGATATATAAAACATAAGATATTAGGATAAACATATTGATAGATCTTTTCCCTTCTCATCCTATTTGTCATTTTTGGTGCCTCCTCAGCTCCTCTCTCTTTAGCCACAATGGATATTTATGCTTACTATCATACAAAACATGACAGTTTTCTTTTAAACATATATATTACTTGCAGCCAATTTAGGAATAATAAAGAGATACTAGTGACAAACAAAAATGAGATCGTATTGTTTATATTATGTATAGTTCAAAAAGTCCATGCACATGTTACAAACACCAGAAAATACCTCTAAAACATGCCTAACTGGTGTATGAAAACTATGGATGTCTTACAAACTAAGATATTAAGAAGGGGAACTCTACTATGGATTAATCTCCTGAAAAGGTGATCTAAACCAACCTTCAGTCCTTCAAGACCCACATCAAGAATTTGCAATCTCCTTAGTGTGACTTCCACATGAACGTCTTTGGTTTCACCATTGCGCACATTCTTGTGGAGAAACGTGAGAGTCAATTCAATGGTTTCAACCTCCGTGAGGACCAATGGATCATGTTTGTGTGTGGATGTACGCTTGGACAACACCTTTGATATCAGTTGAATCCCGTTATCACTCTTAGGCTTGGTTGACACAAAGATCAAAATGGATTTGGATAAGGAGATAGTAAGTGCATTAGTTTCTGTAAGAACTTTGGAAACCAATGACACATGGTGATCAATATCTACAAAAAGAAATGAACATATTTTCTTTTCTAGATGTTTTAGTGTCCTGAGGCTCTTGGTTAGAGCCTTCTTTGCCATTTTCCGGAAGCATAGATGCGCTACAATTTTACTAGCAACTGTTGAATCACTACCTTTCCTCCGTAAGGCCATTTAAAGGACGTTCACATTTTCCTTCATTAACATGATCATGTCTATAAGGGTGCTATACGTGTCTAGAAACCCAATGGACCACTCTAAGGTAGTTTTGAGTAGGGTTCCATTTTGGTGGTGAGAAAGGGCTTGTTGGGTCATTGCACTACAAGAAAGGTTGGCATTACCAGCGACGCCTTTAGTGACGACGCGGGGCAATAGCGGCGACATGTAATTGATGCGTTACATGTCGCCGCTATTACCCGGCATCACAGCTAATACTCACTTACAGCGATCCGCGTTAAATTACCCCCATCCATCCGATTTCTTTAAAATCCAACGATTGTAGAGGAAGGCGGAAACACAGAAAACTTTCCCTCCAAGTTTCGCTTCTATTGCCCTAATGTCGTCGCTAACCCCCCCCACCCCCACCCCACCCTCTCGTTGCCACTATTGCTTATCGCCGCTAATGCCCTTGTAGATAACCCATTTCCAGTTTCCCTTTCTGCGATATTTCTTTCTGCCTCCTGGTTTCCTTTCTCTTGTTTCTTTGTTTCTCTCGTTTTTTTCTCTCTTTTTTGCAACTTGGTGGACTAGGAAGAAAAAAATCGATACCCTCCTTCCCCCAAGATCACCACAAAACCCCAAAACCAACAACATTGAGCTAAATTCTGAAATTGCCCACATTCAAGGTCAAATTCCTCCTCTTTATTATTATTTTTCTGTTTTGGTGTTAATTTGGATGATAAATTGTTAGTAATTTTCAATTTTGCTGAGTGATGATATGAAGTGGTTGTGCATTTTGTTGGATTGTATACATTTTGTTGGATTTTTAGGAAGTTTTTATTCATTTTGTGTATGTTTTGTATTTTATGTTTATATTACATTCGGTTAAAAATGAAATTTGGCATAAATATCTACATTTGTTGGATTGTAATTTATGTTTATACCACATTGGCTTAAAAGGAAATTTAGATGTATAAATCTGTATAGATTTGGCTTAATTGTATGAAATTGGATGAAATTGGAATATGCAAATTGGATGTATATATTTTTGTTTAATTGTATGAAATTGGAATATACAAATTAGATATATACATTTGGCTTAATTAGGCTATTAATAGCAACTTACTTTTAGTAATGTATTGTATATGGTTTCAAAGTGCTTAATTTTGTTAGTGACTTAATGTTGGTCATTACAACATTAGCTTTAATTGGATTATTAATAGTAGTGTACTTCTAGTAATTTTAATTTAATTATATACTAAAATTAAATTAATTTTAAAAAAATAAATAAAAAATAATAAATTAATTGTAAAATCAAATTAAATTAGTTTTAAAATGAAGTTACTATTAATACTAAAATAAAATAAAATTAGTTTAAATAATTAAACTAATAACAAAAAATAAAATATTAAACTAATTAGAAAATAAAATTAATTTACCTTTGGAATCAAATTATGTTACCTTTATAAAATCAAATTAAATCAATTAAAAAAACCAACTTAATAGCAACATACTTTTAATGACTTAATGTTGGTCATTACAACTTTAGCTTTAATTAGGTTATTAATACCAACGTACTTCTAGTAAATTATAGAATAAACTTAATTTAATTTAAAAAAACATTAAAAAATAATAAATTAATTGTAAAATCAACTTACAGTAATTTTAAAATCAAGTTAATGTTAATATTACAATAAAATAAAATTAGTTTAAAAAATTAAAATAATAATAAAAAAGAAAATATTAAATTAATTAGAAAATCAAATTAATTTACCTTTAGAATTAAATTAAGTTACCTTTATAAAATCAAATTAAATCAATTATAAAACCAACTTAATTGCAACATACTTTTAGTAACTTAATGTTCGTCATTACAACTTTAGCTTTAATTAGGTTATTAATAGCAACGAACCTTTAGTAATTTTAATTTAATTATAGAATAAAATTAAATTAATTTAAAAAAACAATAAAAAATAATAAACTAATTGTAAAATCAACTTAATGTAGTTTTAAAATCAAGTTAATGTTAATACTAAAATAAAATAAAATTAGTTTAAAAAGGTAAACTAATAACAAAAAATAAAATATTAAATTAATTAAAAAATCAAATTCATTTACCTTTAGGCTCAAATTATATTACCTTTATAAAATCAAGTTAAATCAATTATAAAACCAACTTAATAGTAACTTACTTTTACTGACTTAATGTTGGTCATTACAATTTAGCTTTAATTAAGTTATTAATAGCAATATACTTCTAGTAATTTTAATTTAATTATAGAATAAAATTAAATTAATTTAAAAAAAACATTAAAAAAATAATAAATTAATTGTAAAATCAACTTAGAGTAGTTTTAAAATCAAGCTAATATTAATATTAAAATAAAATAAAATTAGTTGAAAATTTTAAACTAATAATAAAAAAGAAAATATTAAATTAATTAGAAAATGAAATTAATTTACCTTTCGAATTAAATTAAGTTACCTTTATAAAATCAAATTAAATCAATTATAATACCAACTTAATTGCAACATACTTTTAGTGACTTAACGTTGGTCATTACAACTTTAGCTATAATTAGGTTATTAATAGCAACGTACTTCTAGTAATTTTAATTTAATTGTAGAATAGAATTAAATTAATTTAAAAAACATTAAAAAAAATAAATTAATTGTAAAATTAACTTAAAGTAGTTTCAAAATCAAGTTAATGTTAATATTAAAATAAAATAAAATTAGTTTAAAAATTAAACTAATAACAAAAAGGAAAACATTAAATTAATTAGAAAATCAAATTAATTTACCTTTAGAATCAAATTAAGTTACCTTTATATAATCAAATGAAATCAATTATAAAATCAACTTAATAGCAACATACTTTTAGTGATTTAATGTTGGTCATTACAACTTTAGCTTTAATTAGGTTATTAATAGCAACGTACTTCTAGTAATGTTAATTTAATTATAGAATAAAAATAAATTAATTTAAAAAAAATATAAAAAAAATAATAAATTAATTGTAAAATCAACTTATAGTAGTTTTAAAATCAAGTTGATGTTAGTATTAAAATAAAATAAAATTAATTTAAAAAATTAAACTTATAATAAAAAAGAAAATATTAATTTAAGTAGAAAATTAAATTAATTTACCTTTAAAATCAAATTAAGTTACCTTTATAAAATCAAATTAAATCAAATTAAGTTACCTTTATAAAATCAAATTAATTTGCTCCTCGGGTATATATTTGTTGGATTAGTGTCTAAGCCTGTAACTATATTTGGTATATACTTGACCCGATTGTGCATGGTCTTTTTGGGTTGACTTCACCAAAGCAACTTGACAAGGTAATTTAAGGAAAGCGAGAGAAAATTATGGTTTATTAATATATTATAAGAATAATATATTAAAGGAGAAATCATATTTATTTAATTAGCATTGGTCATAAGTTAATTAGGAATTAATTTGGTGACTAAAAGAGATTAATTAAATAAAGGGGTATAAACTGTCAAATGTATGATAGTTGAGTTTTGCACTAAGGAAACCTTATGGACTTAAGGGGGAACGAAATTTTGATGGGGATCCATCATATTTTCGTCCAAGATCTTATTCCAGAAGGTTCCTTGGGTTGCTTGGTGGCTAAGCTGTCCATTAAGGTTTAGACTAAAACCCTAACACCCTACAAGTATAAGTAAGACCCATATGATATGAAAAATCGGTTACACTTGATTCCAAGAGAACCCTAGGGCCGATTTTAGCATCTCTCAACCTATCTCATATTGCCTTCTTGCTTGTGGGGTTTGTAAACCATTAGAGGAGTTACAATTGTGACTCTAATCTCAAGATCAAGAAGACTACAAGGATTTCAAGTTATTTGATAGAGGTAACCACTTGGATCTGTTCTTATGTTGTTAATTTCGAAATATATATGATAGATCTAGGGTTGCAAGTCTTGGATTCAAAGCATGTACAATAGAGAAACATAGATCCAAGCATTAGGGTTTGTATGAGCATATAGGGTTGTTCTTACGCATAAAACCCATCAGTGGTATCAAAGCCATGATTGGTTTCAAGTATATGTGATGGTTTAACTGTTTGCTTGCTAAAAATCAAATTTTTGTGCTAACTATTTGACGAACTCGACAAGTTCAATGAGGAACTCGACGAGTTGGATGAACTTGACGAGTTCCAAAGTGGACTCGACGAGTTATGACGTCGGACAGAAAGATTTTTGGGATTTTGTTGTTGTTTTGTCATGGGATTAATGCCTAAATCGTTTTTGAAAGATAAAATCCGAATTTTATATATATATTTTTTTTGCATGTTTATCCCTGCCAAATCAATACATAATTTCAAATATTTCAAATATTAGTTGTTTATATGATAAATATGGATTATTTAAGTTATTTGGTAATTATCTTATGTCTAAAATTGGATTAGATCAAATAGAGATAATTATAAAATTAATTGTTTAATTTAAATTATTTGTTATTTGATCCCTTTTGTTTTGAAAAGTTCAAAACTTGCCCTCAAGTTTTGAAATTTGAATTTTGTGATTAAAAGTTTAATTTTTAATAATTTAAATTTCAAACCCGTGGAGTTTTACAAGTTTAAAATTCAACCCTATACTATTATATTATTACAAGCTTAATAAATAAATAAATAAATAAATATATATATATATATATATATATATATATATATATATATATAATTAAAATGCTAGTCTTACGGTTAGTAGGCGTCATTCACGAAGCCGATCTATAAGGTGGGTATAAGGTTGCTGCCTATAAAATGGTGCTTAATGGGTGTACACTCACACCCACCGCTTGCTTGACTAGTGGAGGTTCGTTAGCCGAATAGGTAGGATAGGGCAATCCTCTCCTCATTAAAAGTATAATGTAAGATACAAAATAACTGCAATGTTTTTATAAATTCTCAATCTTAGTTACTTTAGGGAAAAATGTGAAAATGATGCCATTCCATGGAATTACACTTTGTACCCTTGTCAAACGTT